TTACAGTGCGCTGACGCTCCCCAGTAGCAAACCTTACAGTGCGCTGACGCTCCCCAGTAGCAAACCTTACAGTGCGCTGACGCTCCCCAGTAGCAGACCTTACAGTGCGCTGTCGTTCCCCAATAGCAAACCTTACAGTGCGCTGTCATTCCCCAATAGCAAACCTTACAGTGCGCTGTCTGCGATGCTGCCAGTGCCCTGATTCTGCGTTTTAATGTCCTTCGTAGGTTTTACATGGAATATGATCCTGAGAAGTGGCTCAGGATAGACCCAGTGAGTGGAGAGATCGTGGCCAGAAAGACCTTCGACCCACGCTCCGCCAGCGTCAAACACGGCATCTATCACGCCGTCATCAAGGTCTCAGACACAGGTGTGGCACTCCAGCTAGATTGGGGGAGCTTAAGGCAGCATTTTTTAACCACAGTAGCATGTGGGTACAACTGGCCAGATGTGCCATTTATATATGTATACATACTGTACATAAATGCATACATATGTTATACATACAGCTCTGGAATAAATTAAGAGACCACAGCAAATGTTTCTCAGTTTATGTGTATGTGACTGTGTAAAATGTACATTTTTTTGTAAACTCCAGCCTGGCTCTTCCCTGCTTCTCATTGATGAAGGACTTCTTCCTGGCTTTATGGGTCTTCAGTCCTGCTTCTAGGAGCCTGTTATGAATTGTCCTGGCAGTGCACTTCACACCACTTAACGTTTCCCATTCCTTTTGAAGGTCATTTGATGTCATCCTCCGATTCATGAGGCACTGTTGGATAAGTTGACAATCATCTCTGGCATTAGAAAGTCACTTCTGCCCTTTACCTGGCTGGTTTTTGGTCTCTCCCAGTGTCTCCTACTTCACATTATTCTTGTGTACTGCGGTCTGAGAAATTTTGAGCTTGGAAGCAGCGTGCTTTGCAGTGTAGCCTTCCACCAATACTGCCAGGATTAAACCAGGATTTAAAAATGCAGATTTGTTTAAAAATATAGAGTGGTCTCTTAATTTTTTTTTCCAGATATATAAACAAAAAAAGAAGCTTATGTATTAATAGTTAAATTATGAATGCATTTTAAATGGCTTAGATGAAGAAAAGGCTTTGTTTATAAATTACTTTTAATTCATTTAATTGCCCAATAGGCTGTAAGCACACTCGTCACGTGATCAAATACGGCCAAGAATAAGACCGCCCTACAAGTAGTCAGTTAGAAGTATGCGTTAATTAGTGGTGCACCCTGGGATAATTACCTCATGAAAAGCGTGCGGAAAAGAAGGCTGGAGAGGAGATGTCAGGGTGGCCATCCTGCTGCTTCACTGTGCGACGGTGGGGGGGATTAATGCAGAGGCTGTCCTAAGCTGGAGCCTAAACCCTCGGAAAGCACCAGGCCTTCACCACAGGAAGGGCAGAAGGAACCCTGCCGTTTTCAACTCGGTAGTGGCCATGCAAACTGCCTAGATAGATAGATAGATAGATAGATAGATAGATAGATAGATAGATAGATAGATAGACAGACAGATAGATAGATAGATAGATAGATAGATAGATAGACAGATATGTAGACATGAATAGTTACAATAAACAGTAACAGTGCAAAGAATGTCAGGGAAAGTACTACAGTAGTTCATATATGAATAGTATTGCACAGTGGGTTGCCTGGCCCCCTGTCCTGGGTTGCTCCCTGCCTCGTGCCTGTAGCCCTCCGGCGTAGGCTCCGGACCCCCCGTGACCCAGACAGATAAGCGGGTTGGAAAAGGGATGGATGGATGGATGCACAGTGGGTTGTACAGTGTATGGGCCTAAGCGGTTCTGGACCATTCAGGTGGTTGATTGTCCCCCCAGTCACCGAGTTTTGTACAGTCTACCAGCAAAGTTAGGAATTCCCTTATATGGTGCTTCTCCTGTCTCAGTCTGGTGTTGAAAGGACTCTTCTGTTTGGCTAAGATGCCCTGCACAGAGTGGGAGGGTGTGCAGTTATCCAGTAGGGTGTGCAGTTATCTAGTAGAGTGTGCAGTTTTCTCCCTGTCCTTCATGGAACACCGTTATGTTCCTTGGTCGTTTAGCTAATGCCGGCTTCTGACTGAGGCAGCTGCTCGCTGTGTTCATTGCAGATGGGGGGGGCTCGTCCACCACGGCCACTGTGGAGATAAAGCTGAGGCAGACCAATGACTTCCCCCCTCAGCTGGTTCCCCCAGCGAGCAGGGACGTGTGCGCTGGCCGTGAGGCGCGTTCGGGCCTCTTCCTGAGTGCCCTGGATCTGGACATGTCCCCTCACGCCGAACCCTTCTCATTCAAGCTGGTGGATCACTCTGCCAGTAACTGGACCATCCAGAGGGTCAATGGTGAGGACTGGGCACTGATACCGCAGCCGTGGGGAGAGTTAACAGAGAGTATCAGTGTTTTAGTGACCGAGACTCAGCTCAGTTTCAACTGGCAAAACAACAAAATCTAAAACAACGTGGGACCATTAGCTGCCCACTCCGAATTAACCTCAGGAGAGTATAAAACATAATTTGACAACTGAAGTAAAAATTGAGAGTAACAGTACAACAGTCATATGTCACTTAATGACAGGTATACATTCTGAGAAATGTGTCATTAGGCAATTTCGCTATTGTGAGAACATCACAGAGTTTACTTACACTAACCTAGATGTTATATCTTACTACATACCTATGCGTATTATTTTTATCCAGTGCTGTTATTCCACTGTCGTACCTGTGGTCTTTCACTGAGTGAAATACAGCATGTAACTGTATGCTGAAGGGGAATGTGCAGGCCTAGCAATTCAGCCCTATTTATTACATGTTAATATATGCACAGTAAAATGCATTTCAGTTACTGTCTTGAAGATAGTTGCTCTGCTAATTTCACATGGCCGCTCTTTTTTTTTTTAACTTTAAATCTTACAATTCAACAAATTTAGTTCAAAAGTCTGATATTAGAACTGCACAAGGCCTTGTAATTTCCTTGTAGTTTACTCTCTCTCTCTCTCTCTTTCTCTCTCTCTCTCTCTCTCCCTCTCTCTCTCCTCCCCCCAGAGACCCACTCCTGGCTCTTCCCTCATTCAGAGGTGGAACCTGGTCTGTATTACATTCCCATCCGCGTGTCAGACATCGGCGGACTCTTCACACTCTCCATGCTCAACGTGACGGTGTGCAGGTGTGACGTCTCTGGGGTCTGTAACCCAGCAGCTGCAGCGTTCTTTGCCCCCCATGTAGGGATCAGCATCACCGCCCTGCTGGTTATCATCGGCAGTATTTTTCTCCTACTCCGTAAGTAATAATATAAAAAAAAAATACACATTACTATACCGAAAAAATCTGTATGTTTGGAACACAGTCATGCGAAAATGGCATAATTTTAGTATGAGGTCTTTTGCATATTCAGTTCGAATTTTAAAAAGCAAAATAAAAAAGGTAAGACAAAAATGACTTCACATACTCTCATTCATCTCACTACTGCAGTAATGCTGCTCCTTGTGGTGGCAGTGAGGAACTGCAGATTGCGTCCCATCAAAAAAGGCAGTATTCTAAAAGGCGTGTCAGACGATGACATTCGCGACAATGTCCTGAACTACAACGAGCAGGGCGGCGGAGAGGAGGACGAGGTACGGCTCTGTCTGACAAGTTACGCCGGTTCTTTCAGAACTTCACCTGGCCTTGTTAAGCTTTTTGTGTTCAGTGGCAGATTATGTGCTCTGAAGTGCACAGAGGGAGGCTGTGACAGCTCCTTCAGTGCTGCTGCCATCAGGGCCTTTGGCTCTGCCCTAGGCTGAGCCGTCCAGCCACGTGCCTGCAGAGTGTAACAACACTCACATTCCCTTCTCCTTATTCATCTATTTATTTATGGCATTTATTTATTGATCGCAGTCAATTTGTACTGCATATTTTATACTGTTTGGTGTGTACATATCCATGTGTACATTTCTATCTATCTATATCTATCTATCTATCTATCTATCTATCTATCATCTATCTATCTATCCATACTGATGCAGGCATTTTGCATGGCCACCTACCGAATTGAAAAAGGTCCTTCCTGTAATGAAGGCCTGGTGCTTGCTGAGGGCCTAGGCTGCATCTTAAATATCGAACCTTCAGCTATTTGTACGAGGGAGCTACGCGGCAGCCTTCTCACTGCCAGTACCCCGATGTCCCCTCCCTCCCCAGAATGCTTACAACATTGAGCAGCTGAGAAACCCCAGCAAGCTGGTGCCGCCCTTCCCGGGGAGGGGCTCGGTGGCCGTGCCCGCCACCTTCTTCCCCCCAGCAGGCTCTGGTTTCCCCAGTGGTCGGCAGCCGCTCAGGAAGGACGCCCCTCACGATTTTCCCTCCCCTATGTATCCGCGGAAACCGCCGGCAGACCCCGCTGACATCGAGGACTTCATCAATGACGTAAGGGCGGTCAGTCTTGTCTAGCTAGTGGAGAATGAATAAATGCAGTCCCTGCAGTAGAGAATCACGTGGCTGTACTATCTGCCCTGAGTATGACAAGGCTCATCTTCATCCTGTCACAGTGGTTTGGAAACTATTGCCAGAAGTGGAAAGTTCAGGTTCAGAAAGTACAGGTTCAGAAAGTTCAGGTTCAGAAAGTACAAATCCAGATCAAGATTTTGTTTCAACGAGCCAGTTGAGTATTCTGTGACTGTGACTCTATATACTCAACTGGTTGGCTGAAACAAAATCTTGGTCTGGATTTATACTTTCTGAACTTTCTACCTCTGACCCTTGCACTTTACCCAGGACGCTAACTGCTGCAGTTTTTTTTTATGTTAAGACATTTATTCTATTCTACTGTCTTGTTTAACATTATTACCATGTGTGTCTTCTGCACTGCCTCATTTTGCTTTGCATGCACACAATGACAATAGAGTTGACTGTGACTCTGATCCTAGGGCCTGGATGCTGCAGACAAAGACCCCAACATCCCCCCTTACGACACGGTGCTGATCTACGATTACGAAGGCGATGGCTCTGTGGCGGGCAGCCTGAGCACCATCGCCTCTGGGAGCTCTGATGAGGACCAGGACTATGACTACCTCAGTGACTGGGGACCCCGCTTCAAGAAACTGGCTAACCTGTATGACCCACACTAAGGCCCTGATCTCTGTCTGCTATCGTGTTGGACTGGAACCTGGCACTCGTCTGTAGTCATGTGACCTGGCTGAATTCACAGCTGAACTGACGGCACGATCCTTGCCCTGTTTGGTGCCCCACACCCACCGGCTCCCTCCGCTCAGGGACCCACTGCTTTTATCAGGAGAGCTGAGCATGCTGGGAAATGACTCCTGTGTGACAATCCTTGTCATTGTGGGCTCTCTTTGTAACAGTATCGCAGCAACTGTAATGCTGGGTTGCCAAAAACCTGTTTTTTACTGCTAAATTTCTACTTGTACTGATAAGAGGACGTAGCCAAAATTCTTCCAGTATGTTTCTCATTAATTTACATTGCATACATTGTATCATATATGTATAATTTTTTTTGTTTTGCAATTTTACCCACCGTGTTGATCTACAATTTACTTGCAAGTGGTTAGCAGCCTTGAATCCCCGTAGATGATGTGGCACACAGGAATGATTTAGATGGTGAATAAAGCAGGGCCACAGATGTTTGGGGTGATGTCCGGGCAGGACGGCACGGGATGCCAGGCGGGCCTGCGGTTGGGGAGGGGGGCAGGCACACTGAAAGCTGGGTCAGTATCCACCATTATTTTTAATTATTCCTGAATGAACAGATGATGCCCATGTTTACACCGCAAAGTAACAAAACATTGCGCTGCTAGCCAGACCTTTTATCAACTGAGTATAATTTCAGGTCCAGAGAGTAAAAATCCAGACCAGGATTTTGTTTCAACCAACCAGTTGAGTACTCTGTGACTGTGACTCTTTATGCTCAGCTGGTTGGTTGAAACTAAATCTTGGCTCGGATTTTTACTCTCTGGACCTGAAATCTCCACCGCTGCCAAACGGAAATACTGCGCAGCTACAAAGCTACTTCTTTCGGGAGCTGTGAGTGTGTAGTACTGCCTTCGCTTTCTGATAAACATGAACATAGTCAACCGAGCAGTCTAAGCAAGGGACAGAGCAGTCTTCATAGGTACTCGTTAGAGTTTGTCCATTGTTTTATTGTAGAAATTTTACTTATGCATTGTTTTATTACTTATACTTATTGTTTTTATATTTAACAATATACTTTTCTGTTTGATGCTGCAGTAAAATTGAATTATTATTAATAAAACATTTTAAATAAAAATTTGCCACAGTATTCTGCAGTCTGCTGAACATGACCAGTATCAAATTTTCCTTTCATAGAAACCATACTATATGTACCGATATTCTCCTTTAATGTGCCATTAAAGGTAAGCTTTGTTTTGTTCATACCTTTAAATCTGCATATGTAAATTGTGTAACTATCAGTAAGATCTAATTCATATGGATTTCTAAGTTGTCACGTCACTTTAAATTTCTTACAAACTATGCAATGTGTCCAAAGGCAAGTTGCTCAGAGTGAAATCCGTAATTCAATAGGTGAAGTCTGTCTGTCACACACTGGCAAAACAACTGCAAGTGCTCCATTTAGAAAGTTATAGTTGCACTGATAACTGCAGTGGCGACTGCTACTTTTTACAGGTATGCTGGTCATTAGAGGTAAAAGCTCAGCTGCAGTGGGGTGATCAGTGATTTGTGGGAACTGGAAGCAGAACTTCAGGATTCAATTCAGATGAAACTGGAAATATCTTACATGACCCATAGTCACCCGCCGCCCACATCCACAGAACTGCTACAGGATCCACAAAACCCCCAAGTCATAGCAAAATGACCTATAATCTATAATCCTAATCTATATAAACACTACGGATAGAGGAGGAGTCTTAGTTTTAGATGGAACATTGGATTTTGTGCGACAAAGTTCAGTCTTCCGTAACACCAAACAAATTTATTGCCAAATATTTATTACGCAAAATAGATTAAATGATTCATTTAAATTACATACTTTGAACAGATGCATCAGCTGTTCTGGCCAACGCAGCTGATTAAGCTGACAGCCCTCTCACGATAGCGCCCCCTGGCTGTTGCAGGCACAGACGAACCAGAAGCTACAATGCACCCTTAGTGCAGTACTATCTGTGGCCACCAGGAGTGCTGTTTAGCTCACACAGCATCATGACAGGCTGTGGATGCGGGGTTCATGCAGGTCCCAGGCTAAGATCCTCGTCTTCCTCCTTGCGGGGGGGGCGTCTGGGCCTGCGCGGCTCATCCTCCCCCGTGTCCTGCTTGTCCTTCTCTGCCTCGATCCAGCTCTGGGGGGCGATCATCTTCTTGGGCCCGTGGGGTGGGGGCCCCAGCAGGGCCTCTATGTCGTCGTAGTTCACCACCTCGCGCTCCAGCAGGGCACTGGCCAGCTGGCAGAGAGCAAAGGGTTACTAGCTGATACACATTGGCAGGATATCAGCAGCAGATTAATCTCACCGGTCTAATTCATTCAGATGCAGGAATGAGGAGATGAGAAGCTCTTACCACTATCAGCTTATCCCTGTTATCTAGGAGTAGCTTCTCCGTCTGCCTATATGCCCGTGAAATCAACATCTTCGCCTCCTGAAACAGCAAAAACACGCGGCAAATCCAGTCAAGTTCGGCGGTGGTTCCAAACTTCACACGTGACATTCTGGTCACTTACACCTGTAAAAACTTTGGTTTTAAATCTCAATTTCAGTAATATTAATAAAAAATGCACAAAAAAAAACTGACAGGCAAGTGAACAATGGAACAGGGCTACAGCCAATCACCCACATGGTCCATCTGATGCTGGAGGCCCTGACTGAAAGGCCGGCGGCCAATGGCGCCCTCTTCCTCCGTTTCAGGGAAGGACACCTGGCCCACGCTGGGCACCATGCCATACTGCTTCACCATGGAGTAGGCCACGCGAGTCACCTTGCGGAGGTCGTCCTGGGCTCCTTTGATCGACGGCAGAGAATTAGGGGGTGTTGATGGGTTTGCTGGAGCCAAGAGGCGTGACGGACGAACCCTGGACGGACGAAATGACGGCGCCGGATTCTCACCTGTGGTGACCTTGTTGAATGTGATGGCTTCCGCCGCCCGGCCGCCCAGTGCCATGCACATTCTCTCAAAGAGCTGTTCCTTGGTGAAGAGGTACTGGTCGCGGGGCAGGATTTGGGCGAATCCCAGGGCTGCGTTTGTGCGAGGTGCAATAGACACCTGTGGGGCGGAACCAGTGCCAGGTGCTGATTGGTAATTACTGCTTGTGCTTTGTGAGATACCGCTAAGAGAAAATGACATGAGTGGCTTCGCGGGACCACAGCAGACCCACGCCGCTTGGAGCTCCCCCTCTACCACACGAAGAGCGTCACCCCAGTCCTCCACCCTCAAGAGCCATGTCATGAATTCCTCTACTAACCTGAAGCCTCTTGATGTTCCCTGACTGTTCTTAAGGTTGCACTTCTGGTTATTGAATAGTCTTACAAGGTTCTTACTTTGTCTGGTAGACGTTGTGTAATTTCATTATGTAACCCCCAGACACACTAGTTACTCCGCAACGCTGCCTGTATGTTGCTTTGGGCAAAAGCGCCTGCTAAATATGAGTGGGAGGAGCTACCTTCATGACAGCTTCTGTGTGCTCCAGCAGCCAGCCCACCAGGGCGTGGCCAGACTCATGGACGGCCACCACCTTCTGCTCCTCCTTTGACAGGATTTTGCTTTTCTTCACACTCCCTGCAAAGGCGCCCCCACACACACACACACAGACACACACACACACAGATATCTCAGATATAAGACCTCAGTAAGGAGCCTGTCTCCGTGGTGATGGTTGCTAAGTGGTAGTACCCGCAATGACCCTCTCCACGGCGTATTCGAAGCTGAAGGTATCGATGGACTTGTAGCCCTCCCGGGCAGCGTGCAGCGCAGCCTCATTGCAGATGTTGGCGATGTCGGCCCCTACAGTCGCAGGAGATCAGACGTACAATGGCAGGTTTTCACTGGATCACGCTTGTTTAAACACACCGTTCACGGCGGAAGTCGTTTATGTTAATGACAGCGACAGCTCCTTCAGGATATTTGTACACTTATGCCTTAAATTACAATAACATACACTTCCCCTTGCATGGGAAACCACTTCCTTTTATGCCACTGCTCATGAGTCATTCAAGATAAACCCACGTCCCATCAAAAATACTCCGATAAGTGTGTATCCCAAACAAGAGCATAGCGATGGTTTCAACACTGGTAGGGACCAAATCAGCCCCAAATGCCTTGCCCCTCTAAACATACACGGTGCTCACACAAAATTGGTAAGGACACATCCAAATCTACACCCTTGATCCCAACCTCCAAAGTACTAAACTGACAGGAAAGTTGGCAGGTAGAATTTACAGGCACTCACATAAACAGTGCAAATGATCTAGTAGTATAATTTGCTCAACATTTTAGATTTAGGTGTAGATGCCAGATTGCAACCTGGTGTAGAGTGTAAACAAAGGACCATTAACGGCATGATTACCGCTAAACCCAGGGGTAAGTTCTGCCAGGCGCAGAGAGTAAAAATCAGCTGGCTGGGTCAGCTTCAGGATCTTCAGGTGCTGCTCGAAGATCTCCTTCCTCTCCTGTGTTTCAAACACACACATGGAACCATTGAATTGCTACGGAGCCTATCTGTGATGGCCAACAGAACATAAGCCCAGAGGTTAGGAGATGTGAACCTGCAGAGTGGGAAGGTCGATGAATATATGCCTGTCCAGCCTCCCTGGTCTCATCAGTGCGTTGTCCAAGATGTCTGCCCGGTTGGTGGAGGCCAGCACAATCACATGGTCTGTGGTTCCCATTCCTGGGGAATGTTCAGACATTTGTTCCTACCATTCTAGATGTTTATGATATTTAATGTTACTTGATCTTCTCCCAGACAACATTACCTTCATAAATTACCTGAAATACACAGGTAATACACGACTCCTGAGATATTCATTAAAACCTCATTAGACTTGACTTTTTAGCTTTTCAGAAACAAATCATGTAAGATGCATTTCTATGGGAATTAACTGAACAAACTTTACATTATTACAATCTTACCACCCAAACAGCTTTTGCGGGACTTGTCCCCTCTTACCGTCCATCTCAACCAACAGCTGATTAAGGGTCTGCTCCTCCTCCGTGTTGGAGAAGCCCGACATGTTTGTGGAGCGTTTTTTCCCCACCGCGTCGATCTCGTCGATGTACACGATGCACGGGGCACGGGCACGGGCCTCCTTGAACAGACTGCGAACCCTGGCAGCGCCCAGTCCTGCGCACAATGGCAGACAGCGATCGCCATGCTACCAGGGGGCACTCAAGGCAGAAGGCATCGGTGCACCCACTTGCTAAGAGAAATGCTCTATTCAAAAGTGCACTGCTGTGCCATCAGGTCAAGGCACGACGGAAACACAACTTGAGAAACGTATGTTTTCTCCTTTATAAGTTGTTCTGTAACTTAGACAAATGAGCCGCTACAATTGGTCCAAGACTCACCTCCGATGACCTCCACGAACTCTGACCCTGCCATGGCTAGGAAGGGCACTTGAGCTTCCGTGGCAACAGCCTTAGCCAGCAGAGTCTTGCCACAGCCTGGGGGCCCCAGCAGAAGCGAACCCTTGGGGACTTTTGCCCCCAGCTGGAGGTATCTGTCTGGGTTCTGCCAACAGTAAAAAACACAAGCACTGGATGTTTAAAATGGCAGATTCTTCTAGCTTAAAAATGGAAAACTAGCTTAAAAACATCCTTCCCGTACCTTCAGGTAATCTACAAACTCCTTCACCTCCATCTTTGCTTCATGCATGCCAGCCACGTCTTTGAAACTTACTCCTTTCCCAGACTTGCCATCCACGATCGTAAATCTGGCCATTTTCAGTTGGTTCTATTACAAGATGGACAAGTATGAGACAGAAATCCCTTCCCTCAAAATTGGACTGGCTGGAAGCATGTCCCGTAGCTGTACTTACAAATGCACCGAATCCACCCTCCCTGCCGGCCAGGCCCGCCAACCGAAAGATGTACCACAAGATGGCCACACCAATGGCCGCCATGCCCAGAGCATAGAGAGCGCTGTGCCAGAATAGGAAGGGAAGCAAAGTGTGTGCAAACTTCTGAAAACAACCTATCTTAAGCAACAGTGCAGCTATTAGCAACATATATACAGATGGAGTACTGAATCACAATCAGATAGTTATGGAACTCTTCTGGAATGCTGCATAAAAACCACCCACACCAATCGGTAGAAGCTGTATTTTGAGAGGCAGGAAACTCACTTCCCAAAAAACCCAGTCCGCTTATATGAGACGGGAATCCTGTCTTTGGCATCAATGTTCAGGTCATCCTCCGCAGTCCGTAGCTTCTCCTCAAACTTGTCGATGTTGGCCACTTGCATGCGGTACATCAGCGCCAGCCTCTGTGAGAGTGAGAACCCTCTGTTTGCTTTGCAGGGTTCACGAGTGCCATGATAGACGTACAATCCTCAAATTCTGCATGGAGTTCCACTGTGGGCTATCGTACACAGTACCCATGATGCCTTGCACATTAATAAAAGCAACATATTGACAAAATGATGTCGACTGTGGAGAGGCTGACCGGTCTGCCGAAGATGACTGCTCCAGGATGCAGGTAGATTTCCACAATGTCGCTCTCTGGGACCACCTGCACACGAGACACCTCCCCCTTGGCCAGCATCTCATTGACAAAGTCGTTCCAGGAGATGTTGCCACCGCTGCTATTGATGGTGTTCAGCACACTCATGATGAGGGCGATGATGAAGAGCATACGAAGGCGTTCTCGATACATCTGGTCCTCCCGCTCACGACGTTTCTTATCCTCTGAAGAAAAGTGCAGGAAGTCAAATTTGCTAATTGGTTGATGACACTGGAGAGACTTTTTCGATAACTTTGATCTTATATGTTCTTCATCATACCCACCTTCATCTTCTTCAGTAGGTTTTCCTTGCGCCCCATCGCTTTTCTTTTTGTCTCTTCTATACTGGGAAGTACTAAAATAATTTATGGCACCTTAAAATAAATAGATGAACAAATGTTAGCCTGAGAACCCAATAATAAAAAATGCTGAAATCATCACTGAACTGTTTGAAATGGGCTTGTATATTTACCTAAAATGTTCCATAATCCAACTGGGTTTTTGGTTAGCTGTTGTTTAATGAGGTTATTGCTAATTCCAAGTAATCCAGGACTCAGCGGTCTGTACAGTATTTGCTGCAATGCATAAACAAAAATCCGTATAACATATTAAAAATAATATTTTTTTAATAAGTCAAAAAGACCGCCAATAGGATTCTCTCGCTGCAGATTTTGAAACTACAGATCGGACAGCAGATTCACTGGTGGAGCAACATGACTGAAATGTTAATCCTCCAACCTTGACAGCTGTGCAGTCCTTCAGGAATCGACATTAACGACAGCACTCGCTTTGAATGAACAGTAAACTAGTCATCTACCTGCAAAAGTCCGGCGTTGAAGCCATGGCTCTGTTGTTTCACAAATGACCTCTGGAGAAGGGAGCTGGTGGAGACGTCGCGGTTTATGCACAGAACATCCTTCGATAAAGGGGGCAGTCTGGTGTGGCTCTTTAGGATATTAAAGTTTCCCGAAAGCGAGCCTTTCTTCGCGGAGGAAAATACCCAAAAGGACCTGCTCTTCATATTTCGGCAGAATCTGCTATTCAGGAGCAAGAGTAATGCGGCCATATTAAAGGAAAATATTAGTGCATTGTCGGTGGTAATTACATTAATAAAAAAGCATGTTAACAAACTGAGGTAGGTCGTTATACAGACATTACTAAAACATTCCTCTAATATTTTATATCCGTTATGTTCTTTAGCTACGCATCTGACGCTATCCACCTAGCCGTCTACTCCGCCCCTCTGCCTTGAACTTTCACCTTTGTGTTGTCAAATCAAAATAAATGGCGACGTAATTCGGTTTATTTGACTCCTCATTGTATATTTACTATTTACATGTAAAACAGTCATTTATTTAAAACGTTTCAACAGCCGCCGTTCTGTTATTTAAAATGTTATTAAATCTGACTCAATCTTCTAGTGACGTCATCACTAGTAGCTGATTCCGCCGCTTCCTCGTTCAAAAACTACAAATGGCGCCATAGTCATATCTCTAGGAGTCGTAGTGAAACTGATGATAATAAAAATAATAATAATTATATTTATTTCAAAACCAGGTTTAAGAAATTAAACATTTACTGTAAACATTTAAGATTTAGAATTTGTATACAAGAGTCTTTTCTTAATCAAGACTCTTTCCAATGCTGTTTTCATACATTTAAATTGTTTTTGTTATGTAACATTTCAGTGCGACCACCAGGGGGAGGTATTTCTTTCTTCTTTTTTTCAATTTTCACACGTGCAGTGAACAGTTTACCGTTTTAGATCATTCGAACTGGCACCTTTCTTTTAAAATAAAAGTGCAAACGAACGGACGAAAATAAACAAAACCCCACTTTATTACTACCTATGCAGTTAATTATATTTACTTAGTACTGTACACGATTTCAACCCAAAAATAGATAGTTTCAAATACAATATAAACACAAACATATGCTCAAAAAATATATGCCTGCTTCTGTGAATCTGTTGCATTATACATTTAAAACAAACGAATTGATTTTTTCAGGAAATGCGCAATTCCGACAAATCAAAATCTTTGTTTTTAAGAATAACAAATATAGGCCTTCTTTAAATTCGTGTTTATAGTCCCGTGTTATTAAGAATAATTAGTCACGGTCACGTTGTGACACATATGTCATTGCAGTACAGTACAACACCTACATGTTTCAAAACCATTTTAGAGAGAAGACGAAGAGAGAATAACTGTTAAGTAGTACATAGTCAGAAAAGTATGATTCCTTTTGGCCATGAGAAAATATATTATTACATAAAACATCTCATTATTAATACACAGTAAAGGAAAATAGCCAATTGATTTCGTCCTTGCAATACAGACAATTCTGCCCTTCCATCTGACCCATCCAAAATCCTACGACGTTCTCCATTTCCTTGCGTGCTGCTCCGACTGCCTAATGGAGAATTGATCCTCTCTAAGAAACCGCGATACGTGCGACTCCATCTTGGCTCCGAAGTGCCCTTTCGATTACCGAATGGCGACGCATTTCGGCGATCCACAATGGCGACAGTTTCGCGACCACGGGCGTTTGGAACGGCCCACTTCCAGTAGCCTATCACGTAGCGCGCTCCGGCTCCGATTTCGTCAGCAGCACGGTCGACGTCAAAAGCTGGCCTGAAACGGTTAGCGAGCTGCAGTAGGGAGCCTGCCGAAAAAAGTCGAACCGCGACATCAAAATAAATCGAGCCTTTTAATGTGCAGAATCTATACGCACACGACGATGAAGTTCATATAATAACGGGGAACTGGCTCGTTTCTTGCGACGGTGATTCGTGGAGTGTGAGAAGTCTTTCTTTCGATGTGGGATATTCGGGAATTAGACTGTCCGTCCGCCTGAGATGTGTGCTGCTTTTGTCGGATGTTTCCGGAGGGCTGTCTGCTGAACTGCGAGGCCTCAAATGGGAAAAACAAACCAGGGACAGGACTACCGAAAATAAGCGAGCGGACGCACTTCAGATTTGGCCGAGGGTAAGTCTCGCTTGACAATTTGACATTAGCAAGCAGTAATGCTGTATAAACTGCGCCAAATAAACGGCCCGCCTCGTCCTCGTGGGGGTAGCTTGTACTAGTTTGCTAGTGCGCTAATCTAGCAGTCCGAAGTGAATCGACAAGTTAGCGTGCTGGAGTCCTACCTTTAACCTAGTTACCTCTATTAGCCGCCGTTAGCTCACCTTGTGTCCGCGTTTTGGTTGTTTATCTCCGGAGATTAGCCTCGAAAGATGACGTTTTATCAGGTTAATTGTCGAAAGTTTTTTTTGGCTGACTACGTATTTAGGTTATTTGGGTTTTAAGCGACCTGAGCGGCGTTATGCGGCGAAAAACCCGTCACGCCGCCCACGTACAGGATTATCTGTAAACCTATACGTGGCGTGTTAGTGGATACCTTGTTGTTATTAAGGCAGCGGCCCGCTTTTGTGAGACGCGGGGTTCGTGTTTTCTGCTGTTTGAATGGCGTGTTATGGGGGGGGGGGCTGGTGATGGTGGTGGTTATTTCGAACTGCCAAAATAGCCCTCGTTATTTTCTTATGATGAATACATTCCCGGGGAGCGAAGCAGTATTATGACACCTTGTGATTTCCTGCAGTAATATTTCTTCTATGCTTGTTCACATTTTTTATATAAAATTATTTTGCTTGTTGCATAACTACTATCCATGAGGCATTTAATAAGAAAACACAGCTGATTTTAGACACCATGTGGCTTTCGTCTGTAATGTCAGCCGTGGGCGTAATGTTGATGATAGAGAGTTACTGCGGTGATGCATCGGTGCCCAGTCACCTGTACGGGGCTGCCCGCTGGCATGGCCCTGCTCGTCGCCTTCACATTTTGTTTTGGTTGTGGGTCGCAGTAGGGGGCTCCGGTTCTGGATGCTGGTGGACAGGGCTGCCTTCCTTTAGATTGCGTGCGTGAAATCACGCTTAAAACGTTAAAGATTTTTTCCTCTTGACTTGCTGGAGGTTGAGTGTTTTGTACAGCAGCAGATAGTGTGCTTTATTTACTGAGATGGGTCGCATTGATTGCATTTGCAGCAAAGCGTGTTTTCGTCTTGAAATATTCAAATGCATCTTTCTTGTTTTTGCAGTAATATTTAACACATCTGGTTGCATTATATGTTTAGGTGTGTTTATCTGTCCAAAGCTTACGAATTGCGCAAGATAAGCCTTTTAAGAAGGGAAATATCTGATCTAGTATTGCTGCGGCATCGGTGATTGAGGGGAAACACTGCAGTATGACTGAGGGCTGTTTTCATCTTTAAAATTTCGTTTTTGCTTGAATTTCACTATATATTCACTCTGATTGGAGCCAAGCATAGGACATCGGTTTGTGGTGTCTGCGTTTACCTAAATTTTTGCAGTTATTCTGCAATGTTCTTCCTTCCTGGTTTTGAATTTCAGGGTACTGCATATTTTTTGAAAATGCAAACCCAAATTGGTTTTTGGAAATTATTTGGTGGTTGGTGTCTGTATGTTTGCATGAATGTTTCATTCTGGTTTACATAATTGTTGGATATTACCTTCAAATATTAAGATACCTTTTAGTGCTGTGCCATTTTACTTTACCATTAATCCTGATTTTACATGGGCGTGTCATCTAGATGAATATTATCTTCTACCAACCAGTTCTCAGTTTCTTTGCCTGGCATTTGGTTTCTGGGGCCCAATTAAAGAAGATTAGCCACAAGAAATTATTGTGGAGCTTTAGCTTTGGTGTTGTGTTATGGGAACAAGTCATTCAACTGACTCTTGTGTAATCTGATGTAGTTTGGTGCTTATCAAACAATTTTCTCTAAAAATCACTGCACTTTAGGAGGGATATTTTTAGGAGCCTCACAAATGAGAACCGGCATCGGTCTTGGTTTTGTGATAAACAAAGTATGTTTCAGTCTTAAGCGTAGTGTCTCTGCAGCTTATTTTTACATGGCTGTCTTGCTTTGTTATATTCGTTGAGGTGATATGCTGAAGGAGGCATGTGATGTAGACAGGAAATGATGTTCTGTGGAGTCTGTGTAGAAGAGAGCCCAGTTATTTGATCTTGGTTTCTGGAGGGGTTTCCCCCCCTTATCCTAGGCCTTGTTTCAAGCCTTTCCATGTGCTTTAGCTTTAGATGGCTTGTGGGGGTGGGTGGGAGTTGCATACTAAGACTTTTGTCCCTGACCAAAGGCCCTCCCTATCTGAGGCCCCAGTAAAGGTCCAGGCAGAGTCATTTTCAGATGTGCCCCCCATTTTCCCTGCGCCCCCGGCATGCAATGTAATGGGATGCCCTGAACGCGGCGGTCAGAAATGTGAGCCACTGTGGGGGGAACAATAAAAGGCCTTCATGCAGCTGACGGCAGCCATGCCGTTAGCTTGCCTGCATCATACCATCCCTGTTAGCTATGCAGCATTTACTGGGAGGGCCTGGCCTGTCCAGGAGTGGCTCCCAGCTGCTACTTATGTCACTTAGTTGCTCTTGGTGTTTCACTGAATTAAACTACTCAGTATTTTTGTATGCATATTAAGCTTGTTGACATGGTTCAGTCAAATCCTCTCCTGTGTTGTAAAAGCTGAAGTGAAATGGTTGTGCTTAGAGCAGTGGTATATTGCGCACTTTCTCCACGCTGGGGGACCAGACTTGTTTGTCTGTTTGCTCTTGACTTCAGACCACATGGGTTGAATGAAATGTTTTTTCTTTTCTGTTTTCTTGGAACAAATGAGAGGAACCCTGGCTCTGTTGCTCCCTTCCCCCAGTGCGTAAGGCCAATTTGTTTTTAGGTGCATAATCCGTTCCTGGTGCCAACAGATACGGTGACGTTTATAGTTGTGCGATTTATTAATGGGTGGCGCACCACACAGTAGCGGTGGACCATGACGATTACACAGGCTGCATGTGTGGATGAAAAACAGGAAAATACCGTGTCTTACTCTGGGACCATGGACAGTCCACGTCGTGGGGTTTCCTGACCACGCACTTCGTTGTGCTGGTTTCATTTCCTGACATTCTCCACATTGTATGGTGGGAGATTGCACTTCCTGCTTTTATTTTTCTCTTGCCTTGTTTCAGCTGTCGTCTTATGTGATATTTGTGGTGTTCCGTTTGAACCATATTGAGTACACACCCATGCTGTGCCCTTTCGTATTTCTGGTTTTGGTATGGTGCTCTATAAGTGGCCCCCTCTGTTTGTGTCCCTAGTTCTTTGACCTTGCATACATCGAGGGAAAGGTTTGGTGCTGGGTTAGTCTGGGGTAGTCAGCCTTT